TAACACATGAGTCCTTAGTGTCCAGGGGCCTCATTTATAAAGGGATATACGCTCAAAAAATGGCGTACGCCAGTTTCTACGCAATTTTTGCGATTTATAAAATACTAACTTGGCGGGAAAACGTGCGGTCCTCCACGCGAACTCTAACCCATGCGTACGCACTAAGCACAAAAATGGGAGAGACGAGAAACTGCGACACCGTTGGCAGAAGGAAGAATGGAGAGAAATATGTGGAAATAATACCATAAATAAAATGTTACCTCTCATTTATCATATATGAAGAATTCATTTTCAAACATTGATTAAAGCCAATCTTAAAATGATTTAACAAATGCCTGTTTGAGACTCCTCAGTGCACACAAAAACATAACTGGGAGAAATATGATATGGATATGTTATGTTATTTAAAACCACCTCGAATATGTTGTGTTAATGTTATGAAATGTTTTCTCATAAATGATGCGGTAAGCAGGAGGACAGAATTACGTATAAACTGACGCCGTTTTGCATTTCTATATACGAGCATGGTTTTATATGTTTAATACATGTTTAATCGTGTTTTATGCCGTTTGCCAAGACCTGATAAGTCGCTCGTAAAACACAGGAGGTATGGAAACTAAGAGCCCCATATGTGGTAAATTGTACAGCTAATATAACACAACATATTCGTTGTATTTCCTTTAACTGGTGGATATAGAGTTGCTGCGGGGGGGGGACACAAACCACCAAATACAAAAACAAATAATTCAGATCCAGTCGTCATGACTCCACTCCGGAGGGATTCCCCGATCATTTCTTAGAGTTACTCATCAAGGGGGTGTCTCCTGTCCCCGGTACAAACACACTGCCTGAGGAAGGCTATGTGTATTTTTGTTGTCATTAACCTTTTTCGGACCACTTATTTATTTATTTTGGTGACGATCCGACCTCCATGCTGCTACTCGGGTTCAAACTGCATCCACCAAACAATATGATTTATCTCCACCTCCCCAAAATAACCCAAATCTGACACGGTGTGAGATGTCTTTTTTTAGCTGTTCTGTCGTCATTTCCTGCGATCTTCTCCATGCAGTCAGTCAAAATGAATGAATGGGCGTTTCTTTTACTATTTATAGGCAAATATAGGCGTTACGTGAAGCCCGCAAAAGCTGCACCGCATTTCGAGTCGGTTGTGATTTATAAAGAGAAACCAGCGTAGGAAGTGCTGTACGCACTTTCCTCTCCGGTACGCAATGTTCGGTGAATCGGAAAATGTCGGATAATTTATGTACCTATTTTTCGGATTTCTACTACGTAAGCAACCTTCCCACGTGAATCCTACGCACGGCGTTATACATGAGGCCCCAGAACATTTAGTGTTGAACTTGTTTTTCTGCTTTGTGTAACACTTTGGCTTTCTTCTCCAGGGGGCATGCAGGACTGGAACTACTTAAACACCAACTGTTTTGAGGTGACCATCGAGCTGGGCTGTGTAAAGTACCCCATGGCCAGGGAGCTGCCAAAACACTGGGAACAAAACAGACGGTCCTTGCTTGAGTTCATACACCAGGTTAACACATTTCAATATTGCCCAGAGCTTTCTCCCTCTTTCACTCAGCTTTGCATCCACTCATGTTTAGGTGGTCATCTGTCTCTGTAGGTTCACATTGGAGTAAAAGGAACCGTCTCAGACCTTACGGACGGCACAGGAATTCCCAATGCCACCATTAATGTGCGGGGGATAGACCACAACATCTCATCAGCTCGCACTGGAGATTTCTGGAGACTGCTGTCCCCGGGGACTTACTCCATCACCGCCTCTGCTGATGGGTAGGATTTGGATTTCACAATCAAAAACAAACGAAGAATTGACCATGAAGTTTCTAGAGGTTTCTCTGCTTTTATTTACCAGTGCTTTTGTCTTTCTCTGTTGTCCAGTTATAAATCTGTGAGGACCTACGCCACAGTCTCTAAAGGTGGAGCAGAGGTGGTGGACTTCAGACTGACACGTATACACTTCAAAGGCCAATCTCCCAAAGGACCCAAACCCACGCAGAACCCATCGGAGAAGAAATTCAAGAGCTTAATCAAGGAGCTGTCCCTCGGCCAGGGTTTGGAGGATTTGGTCAGGAGCACGGCCACAGATAACAGCTTCCGCTACAGAGGCTACAAGGAGCTGTCTGGCTTTCTAAGAGGACTCACACTGAACTTTCCCAAAATTACATCTTTACAGAGGTAATGGAACCAGCCAATGTCATTTGCTTTTCAGTGAACATGAATGTTTGATATCATACCTGTATACTTCTCATTCCCTGCATACCAAAAGTCAATGCTGTCCTGATTATCTCTTTGGTTACTTTTCTTAAGGCAAGACACTGCAGACAGGGAAACTTTTGTGATATGTATTAGTTAAAATCTTTACGTGTACGGTCTTAAAATACTCATGTGTATTTTGGTTTATTTCTTCTATTTCCAGTTTGGGCCAAAGTGTAGAGTTTCGAACCATTTGGGCTCTGGAGATCTCCAACAAACCAGGACAAACAGAACCGTCTGAGCCTAAGATCCGCTTTGAAGCAGGGATCCACGGTAATGCCGCAGTGGGCCCAGAGCTGCTGCTGGAATTTGCTGCCTTCCTGTGCATCAACTATGGCAAGAACCCAGCCATCAGCAGGGTGAGTAATGGGGTCATTCAGGAAAACACAATGTTTTGATTACCTGGACTGTATCAACTGTGTACAGCACTAACTTCATAAGAGTACACACATTTGTTTTCATTCTCTTGAGGAATCCACACTCTTTTCATATTTGGGATTGGCTTCAGTTTGTCTTGTAACCAGTTCCAGTAATGCAGCATATGATTCATCATTGACTGAAACAGTTAGTTCTCTGTTTCTCTTTCCTAGCTGATCAATGAGACCCGGATTGTCATCGTGCCTTCTATCAACCCAGATGGACGAGAGCAGGCCATTGAGAAGCTGTGCAACTCCACCCAGGGCTTAACCAATGCTCACGGCAAGGATCTGGACACAGATTTCTTCGGTCAGTTGTCTGAATTTGTGTGTCTGCAATCAGATTCAAGAAAGAAAACATATTTAATCATCTTGTTCAAACTTCAACTCTCAAAGATGTGTTGTGAATGTCACAAATACACCATTGTTGAATGCACTCGCCTCTAAAAGATTAGTGTCTAACATTTCCTGTTTCTGTTTTTCTTTCAGGCAATGCGTCACAGCGTGTGGTCGAGGCCCAACCAGAGAGCAGAGCCATGATGGACATGATTCTCGACAAGAGCTACACTCTGTCTGTAGCCCTCGATGGAGGCTCTCTTGTTGCAACATACCCATACGACAAGCCCGTCCAGTCGGGTAAAACCATGATGCAAAAACACTGCTTTTAAAAAAAAAATACTTTTGTACTTTTAAAGCAATCTGCATGGTATATTATCTAAAGTATATTTACTCATGGAGGTTTTAATCAATTCTTGAAATGAAACCACTATTATGATTGCACACATTTGACATTGCCCTTGAGGCTGTACCAAAGGAATGTGATTTGTGTTGCTTAGTTTTTACTCTCCGCCTGCCTGCACTTGACTTTGACAAGCTTTTCATTTGTAGTTATAATCATACATTGTATAGCAGCAATTAGAAAAGGGATGATTTGGCTTTGTGGTTTTATGTACTCTTTCTTGTGTTTGACAGTTGAAAATGAGGGCACTTTGAAGTACTTGGCAAGTGTCTATGCCAATAACCACCCTAAGATGCACCTGGGGGATACTGGATGTTCAAACAACGGGCAAAGTATGTTCAAGTACTATGAGTAATTCATGTTGACGTGTTGGAATTCAATCATAAATAAATAAACGTATGAAACTTGTTTCTGTCAGTGGGCAACATCCCAGATGGAGTGATGAGGGCGGCAGAGAGACAAAGTCACATGGGGAGCATGAAGGTGAGTCTCTCCACCCCAGTTTCTGTAATAGCAGTTTCTTAGTACTTTCTTTAGAACTTACATTTGGGGACTTTTTACAAAATGTTTATGTATTGACAGCTTTTTGAACAGTTACTATTTTACATTATATTACTTTGGAGATATGTCAAATAACAGAAAAGTTAAAGCAAATCCTGAAATAGGATTCTACCACAGTACTGTCTAAAGTATTATTGTGTGTATTTGTGTCCTCCCAGGACTTCAGCATGGACTTTGGCCACTGTCCAGAGATCACGGTGTATAGTGGCTGCTGTTTGTTCCCTCCTGCTGAGCAGCTGGCCACACTCTGGGCGGAGAACAAGAAGCCTCTCCTTAGCATGTTGGTGGAGGTATGACGCAAGATTTTATCAGCAAAACACAGAAGTTTTATGGACTTGTTTACCATTGTTTTTGTCGATTTTTAACAATCGTATAACAACTTCTACGCCTTTGTTCACTTTTTGATAAGGATTTTAGGTTACATATATATTCTGAAAGTTATGCAGCAGTATGTAAACTTGCAATGTATTTAGTGCTCCAGCTTTAAACAAGTATTAAGACATACTAATATAAATCAAGGATTTAAGATTTATGATTATTATTTCCTTCATCATCATACAGCCTTAATTTGCCCTCCATTTGTTCCCCACCCAGGTCCATAAAGGGGTGCGTGGCGTTGTGAGGGACAAGAGTGGAAAGCCTATTGTTGGGGCGATCATTGTGCTGAATGGTGGAGTGAGGGTCTTTACTACAGAGGGGGGCTACTTTCACGCTCTGCTGGCTCCTGGCAGCCACAACATCGAAGCCGTTGCTGATGGCTACCAACAACAACGTAAAGAGGTACGCTGTTCTATAAATATCCTGCATTACGCCTTCTAGGAATGTACTAGCTTTTAAGGCAAATGACTAGATTGGAATAACGCCAATTCCAAGTGGCCACTAGATGGAGCCAAATGAATGGCTTGGATACCAATTGTATTTCTTCCACTCAATTTATTTAACAAATATTGCATTGGTTGACTAAGGACTTTTGATGTAGTTTAGTTTGACTCATTCTTGTGTACTTTCTTAGTTTGTACACTTTTCCCTAGATCTACTGCACATGTAGAGTGCTGATATTAAGAAGTATAACCTGAACCCTTCAGAGGCCTTTTAGTAACTTTAGTTCTCTAAAGGTTAAAGCTTCTAATGAATATGTTCCATTATGATCACTTTTTAAGCTTACAGAAACATGTCCTTGGCCTTTGGATTAGTTTACATTATTAAACATTAACAGTTTTTAGATCAGGGGATGATAATGCTCATAACAAATAAGTGCTTTTGAGAACCCTGGACTTACTTTAGGCAGATAGATAAAGCCCCCCCACCCCAAAAAAAATACAGCATTCACAGATGTTGGTTTAATTGGTCTTGCATTGTTTGTATTTTTTGAAAATGCTTTAAAGAGGAGCTTTATTGTAAATGTCAAACAATTTAAATTTTTTCAACACACATTTTAGATATCAATCCATCTGCCACAACTTTTCAAGGAAAACTAAATCTTAATAAATAAAGTATCAAGTGACATAAAAAGAAAAATGATGGCTCACAACAGGAAAGAGCATTTCTCATAATCACACAAAACTCAGCAGGAGGATATCACTGAGGTTCCCCGTTACTTTCAATATCTATGAAAGGTGTCGGGCGGAGCACACAAAACCTCTCCATCACCTCCAGCTTTCCATTTTGCTGCTCTGAGATTTGAAGTGTGGGGTAGGCCAGCTCTTGGAACAGACGGTCCTTTATGTTACGGCCCCGCTCCAGACTGTAGGCTGCGAGCTTCCCGCAGGGCCTGAAGAGCAGAGGGTCCACCACGGAGCGATACGTCTGCTGGAACTCTGGCACTGTGAAGCCGTGGATCATCAGAGGGCCCGGCTGGGTGTTTGACACGCTGACGGAGGTCTTCTCTTCTTCAGTGAGGCCTCTGTGGGGCAGATTGAAATCAGGAAGAACGGCAGCGTTTCTTATATATCTGTCATCCAGGGGTTTCTGGGGGTCTGCTTCACTCTGCTCACACAGACAGTCCAAATGAGTAGCTGGGGCCACCATGTATTTCCTCTCTTTAGTCGTCTCCCCATATTTCTGAGGACATCGAATACTCCTCCTTAGGCCATAGGGACGCATTTCATTCCTCTGAAAGAAGTGATATTAGTTTGAGTGATTCAGGAGCTCTGTGTGTGTGATACTGTCAGAAAGCTAGCAAACAAACGATATTGGTAAAGAAACAAAAAGGATAAAGAGGAACACTTACTTTTTGACAACAACTCATTTGGAGTTCGTTCAGGCATTACTGAGTCAGGTCTGAAGCCCCACTGTTTGAACTCCGTCTTTCTTCTGCTTTGAGCCTAGATCTCCCATTTATTTTAGATGTAATTATATATGACACTGAATAAATGAGTGACACTTTACCCTCACTGTGGAGAAAAGTCAGAAAGTGAATTCTGAAATCGACCTCTCAGAAGGAAGGTTTGATTTAGGATATTTATGAGCCAGCACACCCACACAGAACCTATTTTAGAATGACCACACAACCTGCACCAGATTAAACTGAGCGGCCACACCTGCAAACGGGGTGTGCTAATTGGCTAATCAACCTCCCCACTCTGTAGGGAGCTGTAGCCGTTTGGAGAAACAGCAAGATGGATGAGATGATGTGGTAGATGTTGCATTTGTAATCTTGTGAAAAGTTTGTTGGGATGTAAAGTTAGTAGAGCAGTTTCTATTCAGAAGCTACCACAGCCTAAGTAAAAACAGCTGTGTTATTTTGTGTTGCTGTATTTCAGGTGGTGGTGTCTTCCTATGAAGCTGCTACCTCCCTCATTATTGAGTTCGACATGGACAACAACATCTTTGGCCTGCCCAGAGAGTTTGTGGTGGCCAGTGCAGGTAAGCAATACACTTTAACCTGTGTTGACTTTTATGCATTATGTGACCCGTCCACATTTAAAACAAACAATATCATTTTTGTATTTTGGTTTCTTTAAATGTGCTAAATTGCATTCCAACCTGCAGTCTAATGTTTTGATTTAAATTAATCCTAAAAAAACGTTTTACTAGTTACCATGCCTTGTAGCTCTTTTGAAGCAACTTGCTAGTGATAAGTCTCAAAACTTCATCTTGTATTTTACTTTTTTTGTCTTTAACACAAACAACATGCAATCAATAACATAATTACTTTCTGATATTGTATTGGGAAATATACAATACAACTAATTTTCTGCTTTTTAGTGGAGTATTTTTGCCTTTTTAAAAAAAAATGTTATTTCATTTAGAAACTAAATATGGTAAGCAGACATTCTGAGTTGTGTGTTTCTCTTCCTCCTCGCAGCGGCCTCCATGACAGCGTTGGTAGTGACGGCGTGCATCATCTGGTGTGTGTGCGCAGCCAAGTCTAATCGTCAAAAAGATGGCTTCCATCGCTTGCGACAGCACCGAGATGATTACGACGATGAGATCCGGCTCACCTCCATGGGCTCCAAGAAGTCGTTGCTTGCCCACGAGTTTCAGGATGAGAGTGAAAGCGAGGAAGACACACTGTACGCCAACAAAATCTGAGAACGATTACACAGTATTTTATTTTGATCTCCCCTTAAATGTAACCAACAAGGAACAGGTTGAAGTCCAGATAGAATCTCTGTCTCCCTTTATGAAGGAGATGAGAGTGATAAAGACACTTTGTTCTATTATACCAACAAGCGCTAAAGACTCACTCAGTTATTAGTGCTACTAAATTATTTCTTTAAGAGCATCCTGCTGGTGTCTGGACGGAGGTGTTCCCCCCTTTCTACCTGACTGGATCAGGACAAAGAGAAGGTCATAAAAAGAGGGTGAGATTACTGAAGGTTTGGTCCACTGTGACCCCCGTCCGTCCTTTTCATAAGTTTTGAGTTTTACCGCATTTTCATTTCCGAGCCACATGAGTAATAATTTACCACAACTTGTCCTGCCTACCTAAGGAATTCCAGCCGAGGAGTCCAAATACACCCCAATTTAGATATGTAATACACTCTGGATGGAAGTGATTCATCCAACACAATCTCCCCAATGTTTTCATGCATAACTTTCAATACTGCTTTTGCTATACAATTAGAAATCATGTTTCCTTTATCAAAGAAACCATTGCCACATGTACAGTAAGTGTCCAAGCCTTTTGGAGACTGAATCCAACACTGTGCCTTGGCTTCTGTAAAGTTTAAAGTCTGGTCGGGCTGTAGTATGTGACCGAAAGCAGCAACATAACTTATATTTGATCCATCCTATACTCAGGTGGTATGAAAAGAGATCACTTCTGAATAAAAGATTGCTGAATTCCAGTGTTGCACTGTTTCTGCACAGGTGACTCTTGCCTGCCCTTGCCTGGGTTCAGTGGTGTTGTATTTTTCCAGCGAGTCAATGTTGTGGCCAGAGCCATTACCATGGGCGATCTTCTGAAAAGCTTTAAACCTTCAAGGAGAGTCTGTTACCAATGAAATGCTTGAATGAAACCTGCCCAGTAAGTGTGTCGTGCTCTCACGTATGCATGGAGGTCACTTGCACTAAATGGAAAGCAAAGATCGTCCCATATCATTGGCTGAGGATAGCAACAAATGATACTCTAAATATGTAATCATAAAAAAAAGAATGTATTTGTGTTTCTGTTTTTTGTTGTTTTAACTAAAGGTTTAGGATGTGTCTGGACATTGTATGTTGAGTGTGCCCTTTTTTGACACATTCTCACTTTGTTTCATTATAAGGACTATCGATTCTGTTTTCATTTGTGTTTTGTTTTTTATTCCTCCACTAAACATTACTTTGGAGTGCAAAGTTCATAGGTTTGTCCATCATTACTGATCACCGTCTATGCATCAACATCAGGGCAAACAATTCTGCATGATCTAAAGGTCTGGTGCAAAGAAAATCAAGTTTTCCAAACCTGTAGTCATACCAATGTGGTTGAAAGCTGCGAAAAAGCAAGCAAATTAGTTGAGACCTTTTCATACATAAGTTTACTCCATACATACCTATCATGTGTAAATATAATATGCACTGTTAGAGATTCCCCATCAGAAAATGGTCAGGTACTCTGAAAAAGAGGTTACCAACAGACTGCCTTATTGGTGTTAAAGAACAATGTAGTCTGGTGCAAAATGATAATGCAGTCATATGCCATTTCTCTCACATATTGAAGAGGCGGAGGACATTTTTTTTTATTAGGTTATATGGACTCAACAAGGAAGCAGGTTTGTTTGCCGATATACAAGTGGACAGTTAATTGAAAAAGAAAAAAAGTATAACTGTTGGTTATCATGAGCTGAAATGCCCAACATGGCACTTGATCATTAAAATCCGATGGCTGTGAGATTGGTGATGCCATGCATGTTTTCCATGAAATGTTTTCAAAGAAACACACCCTTTTTCATTTTGCCTTGATTTTCAGTTACTTTGAGAAGAGATTATTTCCTTCTTTACTTTTATCAGATGCAGCTGTCATCAGTAACGTTTAAACTGATGTGTGTAGAGAGACCGATTTGTATTATTTTTCTTTCTTATTCTGAGTCTTTCAATGCGTGTGTCTGAATTTTTGAACGTTGCGCGTGTCCGTCATGCATTGTTGGTGTGAAGATTTTATATAGACTGAAATCAACTGTAAATAATGTTTGCAATTGTGAATGGGGAAAATAAATGAATGAATAAATACATTCATGTTAACCGTGAATCTACACACAGCAACAATAATTATAAAAACCTCTGTGTGATCATGACATGCTAACATAAAAACTCAAAACACAAATAAAACACATCGTGTCTCTTGATTTTGTGTGGTATTGTGCTAATCTTAACTGGGAGATTGGGGATCGCTGTGACCTAGAAGGTCTAACAGGTCGTAATTTAAGATGTTGATATTCGAGTAATTTTAGGAGAGGAGAATGAAGAGGCCACATTGGGAAGGTGTGATGCATAAAAAAAGTGAACATACAGTTCACCATGGTTATTTAAGCTTATAAATCAATCAATACACCTTTTTTAAATAGCCAAATATTACAAAATACAGAAACCTATGTCCTGGAATTTTGTTCTTTGAACCAACTGGGCAATGCTATATGTGCCAGGTCATGCATACACAAAATGTTAGTATTCATCTTTTTTTTACACAACGTAAATCCTTTATTTACATTGTTACAGCAAAAAGACTGTACTACTGATAGACAAAATAAAAACAGTATTTAGTAAAGTGGACAGTATTTAGTAAAGTGAGCACTTATATTATAAAAAATAATTAGAATAATTACACATTTCAAGTATAAAAAGGTAAGTAGCAGCATTATGAAAACACAAGTGAAACAAGTAGAAAGTAATGAAGAAGCTGCAGGATGACAGATGTAAATACAATATTTCCTAGTATATAAGTACACATTGCACAGTTTTATGTTATGTTGTTGGGTAGTTCAAAAAATAGGAACATATAACTGAAGATTGTCCGGCAAATTTGACAGTGTGCATATACAATGCAGTGTGTAGCTGCATTCTCAACATTGTTTCCTATATGTTGGGATTTCAAGTAAAAATAAAATAAATCTGTGACTGATGAAACTTGTGTGGAAGCCCCAAAAGGCCTCTAGGCGGCGCTTTATGTTGGGGCTGGTGGACTGTGGACTGGTACATGTGGAGCCTGTGGAGCCTGTGAAGTGTGTCGCCTAACAGACTCTGCTGAGGGTGGTAAAAACTCTCCTCTTTGTTTTGTAAGTGGAACGTCTTCTTCTGACACGTGACGTGCCCAGGCCGGAACTCGGTGACGTAGCAGCACAACAAAGATGGCAGGGATAGGAGGCAGCAGCTACTGGGAAGGTAAGGGAAGAAACCACACTCGATTTAAAAAATCACAGTGTACGACAACATCTAGTATAGCATCCAACAATGTTAACGTTTCATTTGCTATTGTCACTGTCGGCGGAGTTGACTCATATCCGTTTTTAAACACATACGTGTGTTTCCCTACAACGACTAGCACCCAACAAGCTAGCTAACATATCGCAATTTGCATCAAGGTGTTTATCAACTTGACAATGTGAGAGACGGTTGTCCGATATTATAACCATTAGCTGAACATACTGTATTGCAAGAAACCTTTTCCCCTTCTCCCCCTAGTTTTATATAAGTCAGCTTTTTTATCTCACTTTAATGGTACAAGTTCAGAACCGGTGCTGTAATGGCGTTATCGTTGGCTTTGGCTGTTGCAACCAGAGGTGGAAGAAGTACTCAGGTCATGTACTTAAGTAAAAGTATAAGTACCAGAATGTAGGAATACACTGTTGCAAGTAAAAGCTCCAATCAAAATGTTATTCAAGCAAAAGTACAAAAGTATTGGCATCAAAATATAGTTACTAAGTACCAAAAGTAAAAAGTACTCATTATGCAGATTGGTCCATTTCAGATAATATATATTGTATGCTTTTGATTATAATTATTGATCCATTAGAGTGTTATCAAAGCTGGCAAAGGTGAGTTTGAAATACTTTGTATTCTGCAGAGTATCTTGTGAATTTACTCCAGGTGTAACTAAAGTCTTACTTAAGTATTGATTATAATTCACATCATTAATCCGAATCTGCAAAGTAACTAAAGGTATTCAATACATGTAATTGAGTAAAAGTACAAGATTTACCTCTGAGTTGTAGTGGAGTAGAAGTACACAGTAGCAACATATTGAAAGACTCAAGCAAAGTACTAGAACCTCACATTTGTAATTCAGTGCAGTACTTGAGTACATCTATTTAGTTACTACTTCACTCCACTGGTGGCAACAGACTAAACTGTACTGTTGTTAAACTTTTAAATGTGTTATTCTTTCGCTGTGTGTGTCTTTGTTACAGATCTGCGAAAGCAGGCCCGTCAGTTGGAGAATGAACTCGACCTGAAGTTGGTGTCCTTCAGTAAACTGTGCACCAGCTACAGCAGCTCCAGGGATGGACGTCGAGGAGAGACGTAAGATCCGCCACACATGCAGAACTAACAAGCGACTGAAGCTAAAGACTTCTCCTACGTTTTCTTAGTCGTACAGGTCATGGGATGTTAAGTAGTTTAGGTTGTGAGACAAAGGTATCTTACCTGGAGACATAGCTAACTAACTACTTCAAGGAAGATAAGATAAGATATTCCTTATAATCTGCAGTGTTACAGCGGCAAAGGGACATTGCAACAACAAGAGAACGTGCAGAATACAGCAAACAGTTAAAAAACACTGAATTATTATTGAATACAAAAATATTGCACATATAATCTAAAACATATTGTACAGGATATGATATTGCACATAACTGCTGATATTGCACATTAATACAAAACATAAAATAGCAACAATAATAATCATTCTATTTCTTATTCAAGTGGTTCAATCACACTATGGATACAGTAGTATACAGGGGTTTGAAATGTGAATTGTGTTGGATTTTACATGAACAGCCATAATTTAAGTTCACTGTGTAATTTCTAATTCAACATTTATTTTCTTTTTGCGGCACATCATTTACATTTGCTTAACCTTTTAAAACCACTTTATTATTGACTTTATATCTACTTTTGGTGCTAAACCTTTGTCACTGCATCATTTAATCAGTGCTACAACTCAGTAATCAATATACATATACGGTGTAATGTTCAGATACTACATTTATAAAACACTTACTTACAACATTTTGAAAAGGTAGCACAAACAAAATACTTGAAAGTCGTTTTCCTGATAGGTGTCATTTCTTGGTTTTTCCTCCTGAAGGTCAGACACCACCCCTTTGCTAAACAACTCCACCCAGGACAGGATGTTTGATACCATGTCAGTGGAGATCGAACAGCTGCTGTCCAAAGTGAGTCAATTCTCCTGAACCACTGGCCCATGCAAAAAAAGAACATAAGGACAGCCCTGGATTTATGCCAAGGTCCTTGTCTTAATGAAGGAAAGAGCAGGAGCCATTCTCCACTTCTTCACATGGTTTGCATTGCACCGTAGAATGATGAACTGTGACTTGGTTAAAATCTGAATTTAAGGTACATGATTCCCTTTCCCCTGGGACATTTAAAAAGGCAGACTCTGCAAACAACAAGCTATATAAACAGAAGATAATTTAACAATACAGTGTCCATTTTAAAGAGATGTTTCATTTGGCATGAAAGAAATCACTTTAATTAAAGTGTACATTTTCGCAGTGTTGTTTAAGTTTTGCCTATCTGCCATGTTGTGCGGGGTTTCTGTGCAAGACTTTACCTTAAGGTTGCTCTGATGTGATTTCCATTCATTTTGCATCTCTCTGTCAGCTGACTGCAGTGAATGACAAGATGGCGGAGTACACTAATACCCCGGGTTCAACTTCTCTCAATGCCGCACTCATGCACACGCTCCAGAGACACAGAGACATCCTACAGGTTGGCCCTCTCCTTCTTAATTAGCTTTCCTTCCTCTTTTTCTAATTTATACTCTTTATGTATTATTCTTCACATGTTTTATGTCATGTCTCCTATGTGAATAACCTTAACTCAATTCCCTGCAGAACATGACAGTTTTCTGAAGCACACACATATTTTTCATTCTCTGCTCTTGGTGTTTGCACTTTGTTCTTCTTCCTCCCTTTTTCATTTCCCCCTTTGCTTTGTTTCCTACGCAGGATTACACACATGAATTCCACAAAACCAAAGGCAACTTCTTGGCCATTCGGGAAAGAGAAGACCTGCTGGGGTCTGTCAGGAAAGACATTGAGTGAGTACACAGTCACACCACCTTATTATTATGTATGTCCATTCAAATGACAAACGTTTTACCGTGATATCTGTTTCAACAGTTACTTCATTTTTTAAATGTTTTTATTATTATTTTTATTTCTATTGTATTTTATCTTTTGTTTACTTGTTTGAATCCTGTTTTTCACTCTGAACCTGTTGCTGCTATAAACGCCTGAATTTCCCAACGGGGATAAATAAAGTTCGATCTTATCTCTTATCTTATTAGTTAGATCAGCAGCTAATATAAAATGATTCTGTAGTTTATTATTATTCACACTGTTTTCACAGAAATATCGATAACTTCAATATATCGACTGCTCGTGGTTAGTTCTTGGCATTACGGAGAAAATACCCCTTTTTTTTTATACCTCAGTATCGATAACGTAGAATTGGTGCTGACACATTATTTACACATGACAGTTTTGATAAATAATCTTCAGATATGTGGGTATTATGAAATGATAAATATTATCTCAAACTTTCTATTGTCTCATATCAAGATATACATATAATATTGATATATTGCCCTGCCCTGTTCGAGGTAAACAAAGACTGTTATTGGCATTGCAGTAAAAAAGTTGCAGTTATAATATTGTCATATCATGAATTTATTTGTCTTTGATCTTAGTGGATGCAGAGGAATAGAAACGACCGAGCATTATTCAGTGTTTTTATGTTGTAGACCTTATTCCTTTGAGGGATAGTTGAACCTTGACTTCCACTTGGCACATTCTTGAAAAATGTTGGCCATTAAAAGCTAAGGCGATTCCTGGTCTCTCCGGCCTTGTATTGAGAAAGTGTGTCCTCTGCTCAGATTGGCTCAGTGAGTGTATAGAAATGAGGTGGAAGCTCCCCCAGACCATGACTCTTGTCGTTTTTTTTGGTAATGGTTTATTGATCTGTGAGGCGCAGCAGTGAGCATACGGGGAGCACTGCAGGATTCATATTGATTCCTTTCCATCCGTCTAGTATGCAGATAGTCTCTGGATGCCTAACACAGTCATACATAAGCCTCAGAGTCACTTAACATCATAGCCCTTTCTCATTAAGCTCTCACACAGTCATTAGTCAGTGGTCATTATTTCTTTATAATTCGATAACTTCAATTCGCATTGGTTTTTAAAGGTAAAATGTTACACCGGTGTAATCACAATTCCCTTTCCCTCATGCAGTCTATCGATATCCAGGAACATTTCCTGTGTGCGGTCATGAGTGAATCGGAGCAGAGATCGATTTTTAGGGAATTCTGATCTGCGAATTTCCCACCTCAGAACATTTTAGACAAACCCTTATGGCTGTGTTGTAAATGCAAAACTAATCACATGAGTCTGCTGATGATGTATTTTGATTTATATCAATGACCTGGAACTTGGTTTGGAAAAGGCTATAGACTTGTATACATTGGATTTGAGGACATATAACTAACTACTGACTGTGCAGGCTGCCTTCGTGTTTCTTATAGATAATGCAGCATGTATTGGCATGATGCTACTTAATGCAATACATTTGCTGTTTGTTCAAGTACAATGGTCCAATTTTATAATGAGGAAGAAGATGATGAAAAAATTGTTGTTGAAGAGGAACACACTTTCCCCTCAATGGTTCTCTTTCTTTATACATCAACCATTACATCATTTGTTGTGAAAGTGCATTATCTCCTATTTCAGGCCTAATTGTATTCTTCAAGTTACCCTATTTTTAAACTAATGTTATCAATACAACACCAAGCCTTTAATCTCTAATGATAATTAGAATTCATGATGCACATTAGCGATCACATATTACCTGAACATCTACTCGGTTAGTACCATCCAGTGAGGTCAGCACTACATGCAACAGTTCCCTCGATATTCCCATAAAATCACATTACCAAGGAGGGCCGCTGACGTTGCTAATAGGCGGACTCTTGATGAATCCAATGCATAAAAAGGAGCCAGTGTTGTTGACCCATTGCTCAGGCTAACGATGAATAATGTGCCCTGGAGCTGCTAATGAGGGAACTGTCTGCGCCTACAGGTAGGGGGATTACAACCGCTTGTGTTGTGGCACAGCACAATAAGATGCCGAGTCAAGCTTTACATAAAACAATTTCCTTTAAAGAGCAATTTGCCCATTACTTCCCCATTGACCTTTGCTGATGGGGCATGGGAAAGTGATATGGCTGCTTTATAGCTTGAGAATATATGACGGCAATTGATCCTGGACAGCTGGGGGGTTAGCTTATTATATTCCAAGACTTGGTCTGTTGAACTGCGATGCTGCTTGTGAGGAATAACAAGCTGTGGGCTCACTTGGTATCAATAACACATCTCAATCTGATCTTTTCAGAGAGAAAAAAATCAATGATCACATCTTTATCCAAGTTTACTCTAGTGTTGTCCAAAACACTAAAAGATTGCAGTGAGAAAAATAATGACTTCAAACATTCACATCACAGAAGCAATGACCCAGTAAGCCTGAGATTGTTTTGTTTCAACTTAGTTTAAAACGTGCACCATAATGACGACTTAAGCGCTTTGAGCACCAGGAAAAGCGCTAAATAATTAAAATGTATTATTATTACTATTATTATTATTATTATTATTATTATTATTATTATAATGTTGCTTGTAAGGTAGATAGTCAAGGTTAGTCACATAGTGGCTGACCCCTGCCACCTTGGACACAAACTGTTCACCCCCCTCCCCTCTGGCAGGAGGCTGCGCTTCATCAGGACCAAAACCTCTCGCCCCCACTGACACAACGTAGACTCTATATGCATTACATTAATGCACACAATGTTCAAATACTGCTTACTGCGCGTATTCTTATTTCATATTTCATATTCTATATTTATATTATTCATTGCATTCCATTTCGCTGTAAATTACTGCTTTATTTTATTGCAATTTAACTAGATTTTATTACAGTGTCCTTAAACATTTCTTGTTTTATATGGAGATTTTTTGTTTTATATTTTATGTATGCACCATGACATCAAGTCAAATTCCTCGTATGTGTGAACCTACCTGGCAATAAACCTGATTCTGATAGTAGTATATTGTGAATTGAGTTGTGTTGCAAGAGCAAATTGGTAATATCAATTCTTTCTGAAATGTAGGTGTTTTAATGCCATTGATCCATCGATCAATGTTTCTGCTACAGCTGAGCTTTTTGTTACCCTTTCGTCGGGTAGAGGGCAGTAGAGATCTTGGGCATGGAGTAAACCCAGCCAGGACGCTGTTAACTGTAGATTTTGAAGTGTATCAAGGTTGTTTACACTGCACACACAAAAAATCAATACTGATTAAAATAAACAGTGCACACTGTCTCAGTTATGCAAGAGAATAAATGAGCAATATGTAATTTTGTCAAAAGCGGTGTCGATATCTTTCACTATGCTTGGAGACTGTCAGCGAAACATACACCATTCATAACAGTGACTTGTAGCAGAGCTGAGCCCAGACGTCATGCTTCCTCTTCTCCTGCTTTGATTCTAAATGTCAGCAACAACAATGACCGCTTGCTTGGGATTTACATGAGTGCCCTTTTTAAAAGGCCTTGCTGGAGTGATGAAGCTAGCTGTCAGTGAAGGCAGATCCAGCCTCACAAAGGCTTTGCTGGGGGGGGCGGCCAGATTGGGCTCAAGTCAGTGTGTTGTGTGTTGTGTGTGTGCACCAACTTTGGATGGCGCACATGGCATGAAGTAGGCACATTTGTTCTTGGACTTCTGGGTGGGGAAGGATGTTTATGGTAAGTGTGCATTATGTTTCACAGTTCCCCCTCCTCCTCTGCTCTTTATCTCGTTGTCGCCCAACAGGAGGGTGGGGCTGTGTTAAACGACCAGAAACCCCGGAGAGCACTGGGAGTCAGCTGTTCAGCGGTGCTGGTAGCAAGTGGTGCATTAAGCGAAAGAGAATGGGTGTGATGTGTTTGCTCTGTGGGTGGTATAACAACCCGTCCATTAACTTTGCTTTGCTACCAGATAGCTTAGTCATAGAGCACAGTTCTTTTATTTCTGCTCTTGTATTAACCTGACATGGTATGGGGCTATCAAATGGAATCAGGGGTCTCTTACATAAATAATGCCATTTAGATAATGTCTTGCATGGATTAAAGTCAGGCCGGGTTTCTCCTTCGGCTCTTTACGTCTCTCCAGTTTGGCTTTTTTAGCTTTTTTTTCTGGCATGCAGATCTGTGATATATATTTTCTTTTTACTACAAACTCACTTGATGTTTTTGTGCCTCATTAAATCAGTCATACACACAGTACTGTACAACTTTATGTCGCCCTAGGGTTCGTATCTGCAAAGAATACTGGGGTGTAATAATAATAGTGGTTATCAACTGGTATGTTCCTAACCCTAACCCTAACCCAACAAAGCGTACAGGTTTTCGACTATCTACTCAGACCTAGTGAACTCGGCTGTGACGTCATTCCCAGCTCGGGATATCCGAGTTAAATGGAAGAGCTTTTTCCGTTAAGCAGTAAAGGCAGCAGCATTGGCGCCGACTGCTATTCGATACAAATCTGTCCCTTTTGTCAGTGGATCAGATTAAATATATCAATGAAGAGTCAAATAATAAGCAGTCCCAGGGTGCAACCAGTGTTTTCTGTTTGTGTGTACGTATACCGTTAAAGCTTCACCACTAAGATGAGCACGACTTTCACACTGCAGGCAGGTCTCTAATGCTAGTGAGACAGGCAAATTAAAAAAGCTGGCATAGACACACTTTGCAAAAATAAACTAGCAAACTATTTTTACCCCTTGATCTTTTGACTGTGGATGAAGGAAAGAAAAATGCTGAGGTGGTGATGAAAAACTAAATGGGGTGAAATATGGAAAAACTTCACGCTCAAGGCTGTTTACTGTCAGCTAAATGTAAGCATGTTTTTACAACCCTAAGAGGTAACTGAGTTCTGGATCACATTTGACTTGGATGATATACTGTAATGTTGTCATGGGCTGAATGCTGAGAATTGCCGTTCTAATGTTGGTTGACATGTCAGAAATGAGACTAAATTGTTGCAAAGCTTTCTTTGATATGTGACCTTATCAAAAGTGACTGTTGTTTTAACCGAAGTGTCTACATTCCCTTTTTAGGACATACAAGAGTGGCTCCGGGGTCAACAACAGAAGAACAGAGCTGTTCCTAAAGGAGCACGAGCATCTGAGAAAGTGAGTCCCATCACCTCTCTTTGCTGTATCCAAACAATTTGAAGTGATTTCAACTTTTTAATTACAAATGTTTAGCAGTTGGAAGTGAGAGATAGCCACCATAGAGCTTTACAGTCCTTCCTGATGAGGAAAGAGCCTGAGCTTTGCAGAAATCAAAGCTGGGATAACTCATCTTGATGGTACAGCAAAACCATTTGGAGTAACACGGGAAATGATTGCTGCTACTGATGCTTGCTTTGTTAAGATCTGACACCCTTTAGTGCTTTACCTCGTTATACCTTTTACTCTCGCAGATGGGGAGCTGCGTTTTCAGGATCTCGCCCTCATTAATCTAGAGTTTGTTGTATACTTCAGGATAGAGAAACTGTTGGTAGGGTTTGAGTGCTTTCCTGGCTAGTGGAGAGAAAACACATTTGTGCTTTAATTAATGTCCCGATGAAGAATATATAGGAAGAGACGGCTTTAGATGTAATTGTTTGGGAGGGTTACTTTATTGCCACACCATGTGATGCTAAGCTAACACGTTTTCTACCTTATTGCATACCTTTTTATATGTTAAAGCTTAGTTAGGCATACCCTGTATACTGACACAGTAGGTCACACTATGATCTGCCAACAACGTTAGTATCCTACTATGATTTGGCTGACTCGGGCACTGCAGAACTGCACGAGGTAGCAAAGTTTGTGAAGCCTGTATGTGTGTACCTGTGTGTGAGAGGCACCCTGTGTGGAAAGAAAAAATGAGATGTCAGCAGGGCACACATACACACGCAACCCAAAGAAAACGCAGAAAAGCTTCTGAAATGTCCGACTTTATGATCCCATTTGATAATTAGAACCGAGCAAATACAAAGCAGTCTGATGGATTCATCCTGTTTGTTTCCTCTTTCTACCTCTCAAAGGAATAATACCTCCCCATCAATAACCTCTCAATTCATTTAAAAGCTGGCTTCATCTGCTCTGACAAGGCTAATGTTTATTCTTCAATTTATCAAATGAAAATGGGTTTATAGAGTGACTCATATACAGGGAGTAAACTAAACATGAACTTTAAAAAGCAATTAAAACATAGCTAGAAAACCACCTTGCAAGGACATGGTAGGTTTTTAGTTTTAATCTTTAGTTCATTTATATTTGTATCAACATTTTCATCTGAATCCGTTAAATAATGTCCCCGTCCCTAAAACAGCTGCTTTGCCTTCTGGCGGTAACGTGAAGAGGGATCTGTAGCGTATGCTGATAGAAAGCTGATGGTGCCTGGTGTAGTTACCCATTAGTGATGGGAAGATACTACCTTTTACAAGATATTGAAAGATGCACTGAGTTGGAGTTTAGCACTCCCAGGAAATACTTTTCCAACAGATTGATGAAGTTACAGACTACTTCCACTTTAAGTGAATTTATTAATGACATTTAATTGCAGTAGCATTCTTTCAGGGTAGCTGCACAGGGGCGTTTAACGGTACGTCCACACAGCGGCTTCGGAAAAAGCTTGCCGGCGGGTGTGTCGGAAGCTCGACCAACAACCANATAGCTAGAAAACCACCTTGCAATGTAATGGAAGGTTTTTAGTTTTAATCTTTAGTTCGTTTATATTTGTATTTATTTATTCCATGGCTGAAACTTTATTCTGAAATGATTCAAATTTAATGTATCAAAATTTTCATCTGAATCCGTTAAATAATGTCCCCGTCCCTAAAACAGCTGCTTTGCCTTCTGGCAGTAACGTGAAGAGGGATCTGTAGCGTATGCTGATAGAAAGCTGATGGTGCAGAAATTGGTGCCTGGTGTAGTTACCCATTAGTGATGGGAAGATACTACCTTTTACAAGATATTGAAAGATGCACTGAGTTGGAGTTGGAGTATGGATGTGTATAATATCCATATCCATATAATATCCATATCCATATCCATATGTATAATATCATATATGTATCCACAATATAAGTATGTATGTGTTGGAGTTGGAGCACTCCCAGGAAATACTTTTCCAACAGATTGATGTAGTTACAGACTACTTCCACTTTAAGTGAATTTATTAATGACATTTAATTGCAGTAGCATTCTTTCAGGGTAGCTGCACAGGGGCGTTTAACGGTACGTCCACACAGCGGCTTCGGAAAAAGCTTGCCGGCGGGCGTGTCGGAAGCTCGACCAACAACCAATCACATGAATCTCCCGCCCCTGACACACAAGCAGCGGTTTGATTGGCTAGAGCTTCTACTGGCATATGATTTGATTGGCTGACGCTTCAACCGAAAGCTTCAGAAGATTCAAAAGTTGAACATTGCTCAACTTTTGAAGCCTGAGATGCCTGGAAATCTCCGCTTCGCTTCCCACAATGCAGTTTGGCGAAAAGTGAGGCAAAGTGACGTCACCCCATTCAAAGTGAATGGGCAGAAGCGTTAAGATTTTTTTAACGCTGCTGTGTGGACGTACCGTAAGAGTCACATAGACACTCCGTTGTGGTAAGCTGCATTGTGATACTCACTTATGAAAACTACTAGGAAAAGTGAACACCCTCATGGATTCATGTTTAGGGAGTTGCCCTGAGAAATACGGTCATATGGTTGCTCATATCAAGTTGTTTATCTTACATATTGGCTTGAGAGGGCGGAGGAACCTTCTCCTCCTTCCTCATTTTTCTCCAAATTGCCATACTGGCATTTGAACTTCGCCACGGTTTATTCGACGCACAAGTGATCTCCGTCTCGGGACGACCAGGAACGGTCGGTTGGAACCGCTCGGCCGAAGAGCGACAGTTTTTAGAGGGATTTCAAGTGAGATAAGTGGAGTCGAAGGAGTTTTATTATGTCCTTCCGACATGTGCCTAGTGGTGATGTCGTGTAGTTCTCTCCAATAAGAATTTTTACGACAGACACGTACAGGGAAAAAAAGTCCGGTGACAATCTGTTACTTACCGTTTGTGAGGTGGAGCAACGCTGTAAATATAGCTTTTTTTTCAAATGACCTTCCCTGAACAAGAGAAAAGAACCCTCACTTTCAGAATCGACTGTCAAACCGTTTACGGCATAGGCTAGGGAACGGTTATGTAAAAATTTGTTCGTGTGGCGTGATACGTTACGAAGGAAACCGGAGCACGTCTAAATATAAAACTTAATGTGTAATGAGTAAATGGGGATTTTGTCTCTGCCTTGTGAAGTACCAACAGAAAGGAACAGAGTCCATTTTCGGTCCCGTGTTTTGTTAGATGTGTCGACTCGACGTTTATCGAGGTGTCTGTGAAGTACACTTATAAATTATGATTCTTACACAAAGTTAGAAAGATCTATTTTTGTGTAGGGAGTTCACGTGTGTCCCTGATTACTAATAATAACGTAAACTAAATTTTCTCTCTTAGGGTCTAAACAGTCTTACGTAAGTTCGTAAACCTGATTTGGCAGACTAAGATACCTCCTAGGTACGAGGACGGAGTCAATCTGAAGCTATCAAAGAGACCGGTGATTGGTAAAATGAGGGAAAGAGACTTCCGGGAAAAAGGAACAAAGTTAACGAGGTGTCCTTAGTTAGTCGCAGCCCTGACGCTAGAGTAGAGGTCAGAAGGAGGAAGAAGGGTGGTGGGGGTAGAAACAGATTACCAGGACCCCTTCGGAAACTATAACCTAACACCGTTCTATCTACAGTAAACAGCTAATAGGACTAGTTAACCACTACCTAGCCGTGTTCACGAATTCACGAGCCCTTACGTCCAGCGACGTTCTTCGGTCTCCTCCAAGTTGTACGCAGGTGACCGTTTGGGGACAAGAGGTAAAACAACGATAAAGCCAG